CTCTGATTATAGTACAGAATGAAATAAATTGCTAATTCAATTAAGAGTATACAATGAAGTGATCCTTTCGTCATTTAGATTTTCCAAAATATTCCTATACCTTCTACTCTTTTATTAAAATCGCTTTTAAGACAATTCTAAAACTTCCAAAGAACATAAATCTATCAATACAAAAATATTGAATTTTCGATTGAATCGTATCGGTTAATAGAGGAAGTCGAAATAAAAAAAATTGTTTTTTATTCGTCCCAAAGTTTCAATCTATTCCGGAGATATAGGCTTCCGACGTTTAGGCGCAACGTTTGGTATTACTGACACAGTGACCTAGTTACGTGTATCAGCTGAGTGCCTAGAGTCTAGACCGATGGTGAGTCGGTCACCGTGCGAAAAGGATAGCACTAGCGACGCCGAAAAAATTATAGTTATCTTGCAATATCTCCGGAACCAGAAGTGGGATCAGGATGAATCAAACAGTATTTTAAATAGAGAGCTTTTCTGTTTCGAATATCGGAAGTCTCACCTGTTTATGGTGGGTATCTGTTGCAAAGTTATAGCCCATAAAACTTTTACGATTTGTTACCTTCTACTGTGCCAGAGTGACGGGATTTGCGAGTTTCTAACAATCGTTAGAATCTGAATAATTATATAATCGTAAAATTCTTACAAATCAACTCCAACCAGCAACTTATCTGACAATAGTAACTCTGCAATTAATATAATCAGATATTTAATTAAGTTACGCAGATTTCATAATTGTTTTTTTACTTTAATATAAAATTGACATTATTATTTTATGTCATCGTTGAAGAAAAAGGATTTTCTTTATTGAATTCGACTTTGGTCTTGTTCGAAGAGTAATTCGTCAGGATAAAAAAGCTGCTCGTAACAGGGGACGTGTTTCGGTTTTCGATGGCACGCGATTTTTCTTAGCTGGATGGAAGAGCTTTTCTGGCCCATCGATTAATCGACAGGTTGAGTAACGGTTTCTGCGGAGATTCGACATGATGATGTCACGGTCTTAATAGGAGAAGACGGCGATTGGCGAATGGACGCGTCGCCGTCTACCATTCCATGTCGATAAACGCCGATTTCCGACGAAACTATCTGCTTCCACTGCGTCAACTCCTGCGGATTACTCTTACAATTCTTTATTTCACGAAATAATCAAACTTGCGTTTCAAGAAAAAATGCAATCTTTGTATAATACGATTATCGTTTCAAACAAAAACATATCATTTTTAATGGAGATGGAGACACTCTTTGAACTATTTATTTGAATAATGAGGTACGCATGAACCAAGTGAATTTTATCATTCATCATACATAGTTTGACATGAGAAAATGCAGAATGAGTCACACAGGTTTTTGCACTTGGCACAGAAATGCAGATCGGATGGAATTTCGAGGAACAACCACGCGAGTCAAAGTTGGCTGGGCTTGAAAAGCTAGCAAGAAAGTTGTTGAGGCCCGCAATTGTTTCAGCTACTGAATTATTTCAGTCGCGTCTTCTCTGTTATGAGAGAAATACATATAGGTATACACGATCGTTGATGACTGAATTATCTGTAGACAGTCCTATGCGTATAAAAATAGAATTCAATCTCTGCTTGACATAATACTTGCATGTCTCTGTATACATTATTGATATTTTTTTTTCCAATTCAATTATCGAGTTATAAAATAGATTAATTTTATCCAAGATCTCAGTAGTAATTCTTAATCTTATCGATATTAAAAGAGAAATTAAATATCAAATTCTGTCTGTCATTATCATTTCCATAATTTCACTAAAAAGAGTTGAGTCTGTTGAGAATACCGGATGCCGTAATCACGTGTTCTAATCGTGGAAACGCAGGCGAATCTCGGCAACAGAATGGGAGCTCGATAAACTCGATTGTCTCGAAGCGCGACAGCTTGCGACAACGAGGAATCTGGGGTAACGACAAAGCCGACAAGCCGTTCCGACGAGAAGGTCGCGTTCGTCGTCGCGCAATCCGACCGACACACGACGCGACGTTTCTAATTCTATTTCGAGAATACGTGACGAGTTTCTAGCTTCTAACAGTCCCTCGCGAGCGTGCGAAGCACGCGGAACAGCGTCTTCCGCCCAGACGTCAAGCTCGCCGTGAACAGAAAAAAATTCGCGCTTCCGTTTCGAATTTCTGTTGGGAAAATTCAGTTTTCTTTATTTTTGTTATCGATAGATGGACAGGATTTGTTAAATGGATGATTAAAAGAAAGCATCTGTTCAAAATGTTTGCTCGTTTGCTGTAATATAGTATAATTAATAGATAATGTGTTGCATGAAGAAATAGTTGAAGGATGTTTCTCAATCATAAGAGCAGTAGTTAGCGTAATATTATGAGAGTTCAAGAACTACTCATTCGGAGCTGTGAACATTTTGTTAGGACATTAAAATATCCCGAGTGAGGCTAAATGCTTTGTGAGAAGGTGAGCATCCTGGCAAAATTTGTATTTCAAGTTTAATTAAGCACGACGATTTGTTAATCTAACGTGTACAATTCTCTTATAAAATACATCTTCAAAACAGAATTCATTACTCACATTACGTTTAGATAAGTTATTTTCAAAATAGAGTATTATAATTCTGACATAAATAATCATCGACATTACTTATATTATATTATATTTGAGAGGTCGTATCGTTTTTAAAAAAATTAAATATTCAATCTTCAAAGAAGTTCGATTGGAATCTAAAAACTAGTAATTAAAATACTTCCGCCTATTATTCGGTGTAATATCAGTCTGTCTCTTGAAACGAACGACTAATTTCTCCTCCGCGGATCCGTCAACCGGATCGACCTTCGTTCTCGTCGTTATACGTCGTTGACGTTATTAGCAACATCGTCGGCAACGATCCGCTTTCGAATTTCCATTGGCGGCGATCCAAGAGGATCTCCGTGAGGAAAATCCGACGGCGAAGAGAGAAGGTCGACGAAAATCTCATTTTGCCGCGGTGATTCGTCATCAGCGTGGAATTATTTTGTCTTATACCTTTTATGATCCGCTTAACTACTCCGCCTTTCACTTCTTTTTACGCGTCCATTCATTTTTCATTGACATTAAGAATCTAATAATTTTTTCTTTCGGAATGTAATTCATGATTTTATTATAACATTTTGTTATATTACATATTCAGAGACTAGAATTGTTCGTTCTCATTAATTGTTCAGTGTGTGTAAATTATTAAGTCTGTGTTCACTTTGTAAAAATAATTTTCAATTATTTGCATGTACTGTGATTTCTTTATTAAATAATCATTGAGATTAGAACTCTATTATTCGGTGTAATATCAGTCTGTCTCTTGAAACGAACGACTAATTTCTCCTCCGCGGATCCGTCAACCGGATCGACCTTCGTTCTCGTCGTTATACGTCGTTGACGTTATTAGCAACATCGTCGGCAACGATCCGCTTTCGAATTTCCATTGGCGGCGATCCAAGAGGATCTCCGTGAGGAAAATCCGACGGCGAAGAGAGAAGGTCGACGAAAATCTCATTTTGCCGCGGTGATTCGTCATCAGCGTGGAATTATTTTGTCTTATACCTTTTATGATCCGCTTAACTACTCCGCCTTTCACTTCTTTTTACGCGTCCATTCATTTTTCATTGACATTAAGAATCTAATAATTTTTTCTTTCGGAATGTAATTCATGATTTTATTATAACATTTTGTTATATTATATATTCAGAGACTAGAATTGTTCGTTCTCATTAATTGTTCAGTGTGTGTAAATTATTAAGTCTGTGTTCACTTTGTAAAAATAATTTTCAATTATTTGCATGTACTGTGATTTCTTTATTAAATAATCATTGAGATTAGAACTTCAACAGCTTGGAAACAGTATGTTTAATCAACGGCAACGTTCGATTCCGAGGTTTCCCGAGTTTCGCGTGGAAAGTTGACAAAAACAGATAACCGTGATGTCAGTCCCCTGGTCAACGATCCGAAGCAGTATCTAGCATCTCGGATTTATTTCTAGCCACGGTCTAATCCCTTGCCAATGATCATAAATATTTCCAGTAGGCATTTTTAAGTAACGACGCTGTTGCCCAAAGTGGAAACTCGCTAATTTTTTCGTTCTGTATATCTTCGCAATTTATGTATTTCATCGCCTCGTAAAGCAATTTTATAGATTCAGTAAAATTGAAAGCGGGTCGAATCGAGCGAGCCATCAAACTTTTATTCATTCTAAAAATCGCTTCGTTAGTCGCGCGCGTATTACCATAGATTTTTCTCATTCATATTCGAATAAAAATTTCCGCATCTTCAATGTGAATCTGTCGAATTGAAAAAAACGGGAGAACAATTTTTTTCTGGCTACATAGATGATACTACGTTATATCCGAAGGATGTACAGCGTTTCGTTGAACGGGGTGACAAAGTAATGAATATTGTCAATCTTCTTTCTCAGCCAGTAAAGCAGGCTATAGCCGCGAGCTGAACGTAAATCGTAGTTTACGCGTGTGTCCTAAGCGTGCCGGCTTATTATCGCACGGTGTCGCGTATACCCTAAGGGATGGAAGGGGAATTTCGCAATTTCGAGGCGCGCTCGGTTCGTATTAGCCGAACGTGACTCGTGGGAAGGTGGTAGGATAGGGGTGGAACGAGGCAGCGTAATGAAGAGAAACTACAGCTGGATGCGAAATCGCCCAGAGTTTTCGGGATAAAACTAAACGGTTCCCATTGTGAAACACATTATACGTTACGAGAGTTAATGACTGCTGCTGCAGCTACTTCATAAAAATTCCCTAAGACTCTCATTGTCTACTTATGAATTTACTATAAAAAACTTGAGAGCGACGCCGAAATTTATATTAAGAAATATAACAAAAAAAGCGTCTGATCATAAAAAGTCGAACAAGATTTGCTGAAAAGCTGTGGGAAAGCAATGGATTTGGGGTGTGCAGCCGCTCGCGCGATATCCACGTACGTTTGTCTCCGCTCTGACGGTCTGGAATTTTTTTTTTCTGTTGCAGAGCCGAAGAAGGAAAAGACTGAACAGAGTGCAAATGGCGCGGTATCGCCGAGCGGTGAGCCGCAATCGAATCAGGGCACGGCTACGATCGGCACCACCGGTAGCGTGCCGGTCACGGCCTCCACCCCGAATTCGGGAGATCACCAAAAGCCGAGCAGGCCGAACACCCTGGAAGCCAGGGTGATGGCCGGGAGACTGATCTTGTTCGACAGTGAGTACAGATCGAACTCGCGAAACTCTTATTTCCTTAACATCTACTAACAAGCCTCTCAGTTGAAATACCATTTTTAAAATAAAGTGATCGTTTCATGATCGATAAAATCAGTTTCTCAGTAAACCACTATAGTATTAAAAAACGAAGTTGGAAAATAAAATTGATAAGATTATTCATAAATGTTCGAAATGGGACACGAAGTAAAAGAAACACTTTCGATTAATTACATGATTACATTATGACGAGTGTGAAGCTTAAAAATATGCAATGCGTAATCACGCGTACTTAATGTCTCCCGGGACATAAAACAAGATGATTCTAATAATATCGCGAGAGGTGGGATGGCTCGTTAACAGGAAGTGCCGTAGTCTCGCGAGCACGTTCCGCAAACAGCAACTCTGACCTGAATAAAATGCACAAACATTAATAAAAGCGTAATAGAATAATTAATAACTGAAAAAAGAGAACAGTAATCTGCATAATATCTTGTTCTCTTAAACAGGAAAGCAAAGAACACACTTTCTAATTTCTCACAGTTTCGCATGAGGCTTTTCGTGCGAAATCTCGAATACGTGGTCGAAGTAAACAAAAAAAATTCGCTCGTGCAATAAAGGTTATATTCTATACTGATCGTCGGATTTTCAGATTATGTTGCTCACCCGACGATTGCAATAATAGCTTCAAACCAAAAAAGAGGTTCGGCAAAAAAGCTTGACGGTTCAACAATCCAGCGACGAGTAAGCCGATGTTATATGAAACGACGCGCGTTTTATCGATATTGAGATCAGCGATTTTACTATTAGGAAACTTTTAGCCAATTTAATATCGCGAATTTTTACGGTCGGCTATTAAATTCCGACAACGGCAAACTCGTATTGAAAATTGTTATACTACTCGCAGGCTTACTGATCATTAATCTTTTGCCGAGTTATTGACTCTTGGAGAATTATTTACCCTTCCGAACTTTAGATATTTCGATTAGCTGTTCATCCATATTTAAACAAATATTCTTTGTCAAAGTTTTCGCTTGGTTTGATGAGTCTTGCGAAACAGTAGATCGGAGTTAAAGGAAAAACAGTTACAAGGTATTAAAAAAAAACGGAACATAAGTTGGAAAGACCAGTACATGGTCAGATATATAGTGGAAAATGAATGAAAGTAGGTTACTACTTCAAATATATAATTTCTTAAATTAAATCATGTATTTAAATTGTTCTTCAACCTTCCTATTAAAAAAAAGTCTGTTTTACTTAAAACAGATTATTTTCTAAAATCATTCATAAGACTGAAAATAAGTCTTCTAACAATATTTGTAAACTGTACTCGCAGACACTGTTTAAAGAAGTTGAATCAAACTAGAATCAACTTCTAACTACAAGTTTCTTCGACGAAAGAAAATTACGTCGAGTATCGATAAATCGAAGTTTCCATTAAAGCGGCGAGCGGTCGTCTAGATTTTTTCACGGAAGTTCTTATCGATACGGGCGGTAAATTTTCATTGCGGGGGAGGAAAGGAAGCCTGCCCCGGCGAAACGATAAACTTTCATGCGCCGTCAGCCTCGTTCTCGCGTGAACCGCCTTTAAAACTCTCGTTTACCTTCGGAACTTGAAAGTTCGCTTTTATCTTCGACTTGTCCCTGTCCGCGCCGGCCGCCCAATTTACTTCTCGACAGCCGCTATACAAACCGCTATCAAGGAACGCGATCTCGCCAGAACGTTTCCTGCGAATTTTAAAGGCCAATCTACGAGGCAAAAATACATCTCCGGTTTTCAACCACCCGCAAGGAGTATTTCCCTCCACGAGGAAAATTTTTCATGCTTCGTGACAACTGGATGAAATGAACTTCACCAGATGGTATTGAACATTTAATTCGCATCGGAAATGTTTAAGAAGAATCGTCGGTTCTTATTTCTTGTACCCTTTTATGAACTAACTTGAAATGTTATTCACATGAACTCTCATTAAATGCTGTTTTCTGTAGAAATATAGATTTTCTGCTCTTTTTTGCGTCTAGATCAAACGTAACATTTTTCTTTTAATCAATGAACCTTCTACCTTTATAATTTATATTTCTGTTAATTAGTATGAAACGTAACTAATGAACATACCGTCGGGTAACATAGTTCAATTAATTAATTGCAGTCTTTCTATGAAATATTTCTACTGATTAACAGAAGGATTTTGCGATGCTGTAATTTTATTACCTTTACACTTGATCGTGGGGTCGGAAATTGTTTTGGGATTCATCGCGGACTTTAGGCAGAAAATTCGAGGAATTCGTGCGATCCATTCTGAACTATTTCCTGTGCCCGAAGTTCTTTCCAATGAAATGTTGGACGCAGAACGTTGTGGTTACAACATCGTCGATCGCGAAGTTATTCAGCAGTTTTTTGGAACAAATGAGAATTCTGGAATTTACGACTAACCCATGGTACTGACGTAATTAGAGAAAAGTATTTAAAAAAAACTTTATTTATAGTGTACGCGTAATTTTTGTTAAACTGACAAGTCAACATGATCCTTTAACATTATAAATAAAAGAATGTTTGATAGACCCCGAAGAAATGTTTAAGAAGCGTAAGAGGCGGAAAAGTTTTTTAATAAAGTTCTTAATGAAAGACTAGCTCGCGAATTACTTTGCAAAACACCGTGCAACTTTCCCCCGTGGAACTGACGATGTTAGAACTTGTCGACTTGACGAGGATCTTAGAGGACCGAACTTTCTAAAGACCTATGCCAGTTTTTAATTAAATACTTCACAACTCGATAGTGTCGTGTAATTGTAACTAAATTCGAAAATAAGTTACACAGTAACATTGTTTCATCCGAAGGAACTCCAGTACCGAAATAAAATTATGTGAATATTTTTCTGTCTGATTGATGATTTTAGCAATTGATTCGTTGTCCAGTACACGTGGACAAGAATGTAGTAGAACAAGGTTCGATGCACAATCTTGTTTGTTTCCAGTGGACAAGGGAGTTCTAGACCAAAGCAGCGAGAACAACCAGCAAGTGATAGAGAGGTGTTACCCCCTGCCGCCTCAGAACACGTTGATGCTCTCGGAACTTCCGGAACCGCCGATACCGTTGAGCGAGATCGGCCCGATTCCGCCGCCTCCGATGTTCAGCTCCTCGAGTCCTACCCTGTTGATGGGCAGGCAACGACGAACACGGCCTCGTCGTTTCACGTGGGAGCCTTACGAGGCTGACGGTTCGTTTATTTCGATTACACTACCTCAATCTTATTATCGAAGGCCATTAAAAGTTTCGCGACATTCGTCAATTAATATTTACAATTTAGTTGTCAGAGCTTGAGATGAAATTTTCTTTAATTTATGAACATGATATTGTTTAAATAAAAGTGTTCAATTTTGAGATCATAGTAGTATCTTCGATGAGTTAACTAGAATTTGTAAAAAGCGAGTTTTACACAAAAATCGTTTTACACCGTTTCACGATAATTCGTTCGTTTTACACCGTTTTACGATAATTCGTTCGTTTTTTGTTCTCGTTACAGAGGACGAGGAGGAGGTGGACGCGGAGGAGGAGGATAACATGTACAACATGCCGAGGATGTCGCAGCCGGACCCGAGCATCGACACATCCAGGTTCGAGGAGATACCCGCGAAGGAGCCTAAGTTTCACGCGGTGCCGTTGAAGAGCGTACTAAAGAAACGAAGCTCCGGTAGCGGGCCGGGCACGCCGCAGAACACGCCGACGCAGGAGAACAGGCCGTTGACCCTTCGCCAGGAGTTGCACGCCTCGTTCGTGTTAGCCAAGTTAGTGCAACATCCGACCGATATTCTTCTCCGATTAAAAGAAAAAAAAACGGAGAGACGAACCCTCGGACACCTCATTTCTATTTCTCGAAAGACTCGGTGGTTCAAAGTGTCAGTTTTAAATAGTATCGATCGTTTACTATCCAACTTAATTCTTTTACTTTATTACTTTTATATTCATTAATTTTGTTTTATGAGGTAACGATAATTCAATAGTTTCAGTGATGAAAATATTATTTAGGATACTTTTTTATTTCATTGAATCTATGAATTTTCATTAGCGATGATCCAAATGCAAGATAAAAGATTAAATAACATCCACGAGTCTTTCCCGCGTTCAAACATAAAAAGAGTCATCTTCAGGGTTCCTAGATGTTGATAATAATTGAAACTTGGTCTCAACCTCTTCAAAAGCCGCTCTTAATTAGCATGTAAATTTAAAACGAAGAATGAACCCTGAAGAGCCTAGCCTGGAACATCGTTCTTCACCTTCCGGCCTTGTCACCTCTCTTTCACGCGCACGTGCATTCATCTTCCTGCACTCACTCTCTCCCGCCCTCTCTCTCTCTCTCTCTATATCTCTTTCTCATCTTCTGTCTCGCAGGTTTCCTCTCATTCATCGTGTCGTTCGCATGGATGAGTGATCGCGCTCCTTTCAATTCTATTTCGGCGAGTTTCCGCGTACCGATTCTAGTTTTCAGAGTTGATGCGTACTAATCTCGGATCGTTAACGTGAATGGAAGATCTATTCTGAACTTTAATCACGGCATTCAAACACGGTGTATGTTCCGGACTCGGTAATTATTTCAGTAGAACAGAGTACATTTTGTTTGTACGTTTCATTTAGTAAAAAAAGTTAGATAATATTGAATATTTAAATGTTTAATTTGTTTGGAATGCGAAAAATTAATTGAAAAGTAGAAGTTATTTTATTCAAACTGCGGATAAAAGAATTAAGCGCAAATCTCGGTTGTATTACAAACGTCAGTATGACAATATCTTTAGTGTCACGCGTAACGTAACTCATTCTATAAATTCTTTGACGAGGTGTCATAACAATGTCGCGTATTGAATCCAGATTAAAGTACAGAAACTCCTTGCACTCTGGTTCTGAAGGAGAAGTCGTATTTCGTCGAAGTCGAAAGTTGAATCGAAGGGATCGAGAACGATGATTCCGGTAGAACGAATTCATCATGAAAAAAATTGTAGAAGAGGTCGCATCCGATCATAATCAACATTAACAACAAAAAAACACGTTGTGTGTCAGTCATTTAGTTAAAAGTATGGTATTTTTCTTATGCTTAACACCAGAAGGCCACCGTTGAGGCCTAGGATGAGAATATGGTAATTGGGCATTGGTCTAACTAAGCATGCGCGAACCGATATGATATATATTACGTATCCAGATTATATATTCACGGCGGTTGATCGCAGAGAATCAGCAATATTCTAGCCTCTCTCTCTATTTCTCTCTCTCTTTCTCTCTCTCTCTCTCTCTCTCTCTCTCTCTCTCTGTATATACAATCTTTCTCTCTATTTCTTTTGTATCTCTGATATAATATATTTCTATTTTATTCTCACTGTTTTCTCCTTTTCTCTTCTCTTTGTGTATATTGATCTCTTTCTCTGTCTCTTTCTCTCCACATTTCACGCTGTTTGCTCTCGTTTTATCTCTTTATATCTCTGTCCGCAAGTCGGGTGAAAAGTCGTTTCCTGTCTTAAAAGTGTTATATTTTCCTAAGGTATATGAAATAGCACGTTCTTCTTGCTCGTATTGTCTGTCATTCATTCAACATGACCGAACGCTTCTTTTTCCCCCGAGTCGCAATGTATTAAAACATATAACTTTCTGACGGTGACAAATATTTTAAAAAATATATAAAAAATATTTCCAAGTGAGAAAGTGAACGTCACAAAAATATTTATGGTGCCAATTCATGTATCTTAGAAAATTACATTTTTATAAAATGAGGAATGACTTAATATCCCGGCTTTGCGAATTCTTCTTTTTCTCTCTCATTCACACTTACTTTCTCTGTGTCAGCATCAAGAGCGCCGTGAGCATGGTAAACGTATATATTTAACGACCATTAAGCATGAGAAAACCCTAGGGAAAACCCATGAAAATTGTCGCTCACGCTTCACACGTTACATTATCTCACCTCACCGTGAGAACCTCGGAGAGCCTCGAACCATCGATCGACGAGAACGAGGATCTCGAGATCTTCTTAGCGACGAGTCGAGACGCATAGGGGGGTGGGGCAGGGATCGACGGTGGCGGTAGTTCGCTTGACTCGTACTCCTTTCCTCCTCGCTGTAATTAATCGGAACGTCGCTGGGCACCCGTTGACGTTTCTCTGCTTCACGTGTTTTACCTCTGTATATTTGTCTACACTGCGTACTTTATCGCCGCGGCTTCCACGCTTTTTTCGCTCGTTCGCTTTCACGACAGAAATGGAGATTAAAAATTTCTCGATCTCTCCCTCTGGTACTTAGCTTAACAAATTGTTCTGCAGTTTAATTTAACTCTTGTCCGAGCTAAAACTACGCGATGCGACGCTTAATTGAGCCATTATAATATGATATAGTTCCTTCGTCATGGAACTAGTACGAATGATCACTAAGAGTGATACTCGGTTTGAACAGCTGGAAAATAGCAGTCATAAAAGTAGAGCCCAGATGTTTAAACAATTCGAGTTTGCATTCTTTGTAATGTACGTGTTTGTTACTACAATCCTTTACTACTCGCTACTTTGCATCTTAATTCCTTGCGCTGTACAAATTATTATAAATACTTAGAGTAACACACTTACTACGAATCAAATTCATTGTGCGAAGGCTTAAGACACTATAACTTCCAAAATTATTCTGCTTAATTAAATCCATCCTAAAAATGTCTCCGACTGTATAAAATCCAAATTTACACTTGTTCCAGTAGCTCTGACATCAATCCTATTGTGAGTAGACTTACTTTTCTTAAGAAAACGGTGGCAGGAATCAAGTAATTCATTTCACCCGTCCACTCTGTTTCTTTTATTAAACGAAATAATCTACATAAAAAAAAATAGCTCTTGTAGTTTCATTTTATGATATCTATCGTTGCTATTTTAAACAGTCCGTATGAAGTTGAACGCGAAAAAAGCGTGTCCGCGAAGGGAACGGCGTTATCTGCGTCGACGTCGTTTTGATAACCCAATTCCGTTTACGGACAGCGTGTGTCCGTTTTACAGGGTACCCGCAACTTGCTTCTGTTTTCTCTTCATCGACGTGTCACGCGCTGTGCATTAGAGATTTCTGTTTCACTCCACACGAGTATTAAATGTATCCATGCATTGCTTGTTTAATTCATTAATTAAATAAATTTTAGATTCAATGCAAATCTTAAAAATTCGTACTTGCGCAGAATTATTCAGATAAAATGATAACATGCATTAAGTAAGACTGATAATTTTAATGATAGATATGTTTAATACGCGTTGAAAATTGGGATCTCTATTGTGCACCACGTTCGACTCTTGTATCGTTGTTTCATATCCCTCCCACATACGTGTACATATTCAAGCATCTCGTATTTGAAGCGTGGTAGAGCGTAGAACATTGGTTCGAGTAGCGTCGGCCAGCGTCGAGCATCCCGTGAAATGAATTTTTTAATAACGCGTCACTGTTTCTTCGTGACGATTCTTTCAGCAGTCGACCGGTCAGATTTGGACTGGCTTTACCTTGCACCCTTGAGAACAAGGAGAACGCGAGGCCATACGTGATAAGGGAAGACGCGGACGGCGAGCCGGGGGACGGCCAGGTGCTCTACAGGGACGAGTATGAAGATGAGAAAAGTAAGTGCAAGTTCTGTCTCCAAAATAAAAGCGGTGGATGAATGGAAAAGAAATTTTTTATGGATGCTGAGAAACAAATCAGAAGAAGATTTGGAAGCTTTGTAATAAGATATTTTAAAAGAATGGATTTAAAAATCGTTTCTCTGAAAGCATATAAAAGCCAGATTTGAGTATGAGCTATATAGCTTTAATAAATATCCCATTTCCGCCCCAGGCTATAGAATTTAATATGAAAGCAAATATCGTAAATGTCACTGGCACTGTCGTCTACTAAAAGATCTGCGACTTATATGTATATGCAAAATTCATTGCCGATTATATAAATACAGATAATTTCATTAGTGAATCCTGATGCATAGGATAGGTCAAATCCAATCCCAAAAATGATTCGTTGAATAAAATATCTATTTTGCTAGTGAAAATAGTATTTCTTTTTATTATTCATAATATTATGAATTAGTAAATGAATTGGCCCCTTAAAGCATAAAGAATTAAAATGATCTGAAATTCAGTCCAGAGAATGAAAAATGTGAATACGTGAAAAAAATATGTCAGTCCTTTGACCTCTAATTTAATATTAAAATCTATAAAAGCTATTGGCTTTTTATAAAAAATTTCATCAATATTTCAGAATTTATTAATGAACGTTTCATTTACTTGATTAGGCCACGCGTTTGATATTCTAAAAAATACAGTTTTTAAGAATATCCCACATTAAAACAGTAAAAGACTTCTGCGTAGGCGGATTCGTTGAAAGTTGGTTTAATGAGAAACACGAATGCGCATCCCTTTGTTGTCCAATTTTGTTCTCACATTTTATCTTTCAGAAGAACGAATTCTATAAACGGAACTGTGGCCGGTCATTGTTTTTAATTGAAATTTCTTTCCCCGTCCCAACCCTCGCGAATCGCTTGACAGTTAATCCCAGGAATTGCACTCGTTAATAATAATTCTTCCATCTTGTTGCCTTCTTTATGTTTGAAGATTCCCTTTGAGAGAATGAAACCTTTGATACTTTGCGGACTCGTATAACGCGTTTAACAAACTCGGAAGTGATGAACATGTTACAGATATAGGTGCATGATTCTTGTTTAACGACGAACGTAATTTTTAATCTTGGGCTAATTCCACTTCGTACATCCAATTAGATACCACTTCGCGTCTCTCTCTCAACAACTTCGGAGTACAGAATTATCTCGCAAACTAAGAGCACCCGAGATCGCGTTCATTAACTTCGTTTACTCAGTTTCGAGTCATATATTGAAACAGCGCTGTTGTAAATATTTAACCAAAATTTTCGAAACTTTGTACAAATTTCTCTGTACTACTAAAACACCATGTGCGAACTTTTCATATTTCTAACAAAAATAATAAAATCAAGTAATTAATGTCGACGTTTCTCGGACGGGATAAGTGAAAAAAAATTTGAAATCCATAATGAAGTAATTGTTTCGATAATTAAAAGAGATTGAATGAACTGGCTGTATTCGTGCAAATGTATAGAGGAACTTTTTGGTGATAAAATAGAAGGGCCATAAACGAACCGATTGGCAAACACTCGAAATCAGCATCCGCGGGCCGTACTAATTATACACGCGCCACGATACGTTTATTCGCACATAGACAAACGCGTGATCGCGCAAACACCTCGAAGGTTATATTAATCCCCGAAGATTCGCTGGCAAGCGGTTCGGTGTGTTTCTAGCCGTTGTTTTGCCTCTAGTTTTCCGCCTCCCATCGGCGATTCGAGTCACGATTTATGATTCCTCTCGCTGAGGACGAAGGTTTCCGCCGTTCCGGTTGAACCTAACGATCGCCGCGGAGTATTGAGTGAACGTAAAATTAAAGGGTTGCTAGTGAACAGAGCAATGACACCATGCTGTCGATTTGGACCGTATCGACTTTGTCGATGGCCTGCGGATCGAGCGAACCCTCCAAAAGGAAGGAACTCTCGTTGCGGCGCACCGTCAGCTGCTCCTCCGTTTTCGACGGTAAATCGAACGGCGAACTGAATTTTTATAATAGAACGGTACCAGTTCGATGCAAGATTACCGTGGGTCTCGATATAGTTTACTGTTGCTATTAAACAGTATGAACATCGACGTGCAACGATAGCGTGATTCGGTTGCCAGAAACAGTGGTATTTAACTTACCTTAACGATTTGTGCCTTCTAACAAACTGCGATGTACTTCGTTGATAGATTTTTTTTTTTTTGAGAACTTTAAACAAGAATTTTATTGTCTTATAATTTGATGTTTAACGCGAGGGTGATAAACGAGACGTAAAAACCGTGTGACTGATGTTTTAATTAAGATACGCTAATTGGTTTTCACTAATTGTGCAGGCCGGTTGGCAGCAAAGATTGCGCGCAAGGAGTCGTTGTCGTTGAAGCTTGCCCTCAGGCCAGACAGGCAGGAGCTCATCAACAGGAATATCCTTCAGCTGCAAACAGACAATGAAAAGCAGGAAACGAAGCAGGCGATTGGTGCCAAGCTCATCAGGTGAGGAAAACATTCCATTTCTCTCTTCTTACGTTAAACTAATTGTTAAAAGCGTTTCCTCTTTTATAAAGTGGATATAACGGATTACTTTCAAAAATGATTTTCAAGAAACAAACCAGACCCATATAAAAAGATCCTTCGTCAAGGATCTGCTATGTTAAGAAAACAACTCGTTAAAACTCAAAGAATGGAAGACCGCGATAAAATAAAGGGAAAAAATACAAGATCATTAAGAGCTTTGATAAACCCTGCGTCCTTGGCGTTAGTAAAATGAAAAGGAGAAATAATAAACGATAGAGAAAGCCGCAGCAGTTATTATCCGAGGACGAGTCATTGATCGCTAGCATTGAAGAACGCCACTGGAACCCGCCAACCCGTCTCGTATCTCGTATCACCATGAATACGGTGTCGACGATGTCTGCTCGGTAGAAAAGCGGCCTCGACCGAACGTTCACGATATCGGGCACGTAACATCCGCGTGAATTTATTCACTGCGCATTGACGCGGCAGCCCTAAATTTAGGAATTAACCGAGAACCAGCGACGATTTGTTTCCTCAAGCGTCTGGAAACCTATCCCATGAATCTTCTGACGTGATTAGTACAGTATGAGAATCTGGTATGCCCTTGATGATTTTTGTGAAGCGCATTCTCTTGCAAGAAAGAGCAACAATCTATTCTAACTTAAAATTGTAAAAATAATTACTGTCTTCCAATTTATAAACAAATTCATTATTAAATTAACCAATTCCGTTGATACTGATCATCAATAAAGATATATCACGCAATTCATATACTTTATATCGAATCCAAAAGAGATAGACTTTTCTAAGTACTGAAAGGCAATTCTTGAAATGAGCAATGGAGAGTTGGTCCGACAGCTGTCAACGAGGAGATTACGTCGATCACGGGTGCAAACAGTTGACCACGGATGTGTGCGATTCAGTTGTTTGGTTCCGCATGGATTTTACGCGACCCACCCATTGACCATTTGAACCAATCGAGCGAAAAGCGGATTAAGAGAGAGGTGATAGGATTCCACTGATTCCTGTGGCATTCTTGTTTCAGGCGGCTGAGCATGCGGCCGACCCAAGAGGAACTTGAGGAACGAAACATTTTGAAAAGTAAGCATCCAACTTCCTATCTATCGAGCTTTCCGACAGTCATATCATACATAGTTACTTTAAAAATCTGCTTAATTCTAAATTACCGAAATCTTTACGATCTCTTTTATTGAACGAAATTTAGAAAACTAATTTTATTTTATTCGCAGAACAAAGTCCTGCAGAGGAGAAGAAGCAGAAAGAGGAGAAGAAACGGTATCTCCTGCGGAAACTCAGCTTTCGACCAACTGTCGAGGAGCTCAAGGAGAAGAAGGTAAATTGCATTTGTTTCGTACAAGTAGAGTGCTAGTATATCAGATAAAGTGAGGACAGAACTGATGGGACAATCTGTTGTTCGAGTAGATCATCAGGTTCAACGACTACATCGAAGTGACGCAGGCTCACGATTACGACAGGAGAGCGGACAAGCCCTGGACGCGATTAACACCGAAGGACAAGGCGGCGATCCGGAAGGAGCTGAACGAGTTCAAGAGTTCGGAGATGGCCGTTCACGAGGACAGCCGACACCTCACTAGGTAAGCAGCTTCTCAATTACAAATATATTCAAAATTACCAAGATATTTAAAATATCTTATGATTGTTTAGCTGTTAAAAAATATTTCAATCATCTAATGCAATTTGTATTTTTGTTCGGTTGCAGGTTCCATAGGCCATGACATTTGCAATGTGTACATGAGGTGCTACAGTGTTTGCTACAGTGGTATAAGAATAGGTGAAGGTGCGGTATTGTGGCCTCGCGTCGAGGCTGAATAAGAAAAATGATGTATATCTCGGTTGACCGTGGCTTTCGTGAGTCAATTCACGACGGAGGAGTTTCGCGCGTTAACTCCTCGGGCACGGTGACGGTGATTTCGTTCTTTTTTTCTTTTTAATTGACGTCGCCGCGTCGTGTTGTCATTCGTCGTAAATCGTGTCACGCATCATCAAGTAACAGCCAGTTCATCGTGGATCATTCGCGTCGAACGACGAACGTCTCCATGACGTCGACGAAGATTGTGATAGAGCGGTCCCGATGGATGATTGTAGAAGAAGAGGAAATGAAGGAATATTTGAAGAAAGAAGAGTTTGCAAGGAAGGATCACTAATTTCTCTTAGTTATGATTCGTATACACTCGAGCTTGTCCGACTCGTCAAAATAATGTAATATTTCAAGCGTTCAAATTCTCGTTTCAATTCGTTCGATGCCAAAAAAGAAAGAAGAGAGAAGATGAATTATAGAGGTAATACCTCGGATATTCACTCATTAGAAATTTGCAACTTGGAGAATCAAACGTTGTATGTATATAATAAGATCCTCTTTTGTACGAGAATAAAGCTCGCCGTTCAAGAACATAGATAGTAATTTGTTCTATCGTTCCAGTTGACAATTTATGGCGAGAGATATCTTTGAAGTAAACATACAGATTTTGAAAATAATGAAGTAGATAGATCAAAGATGACGTGACCAACGAAAAAAAAATTTTGGCTGGCGTTTAGCTCGCGTGTAAACGGATCTTTCCGTAGATTTGACGGTACACCGTGAGAACTTCTCTTTTCCATCAAGCTAGCTCATCAGTGTCACCTGGCATCAAAACAAACGCGTATATGTAAAACGATTCTTAGAGATCGAAGATAAATGGTTTTAACGTTCGTGTGACATGATGATAAATACCTGGGTATTACAGTTTCTCGAAATGCTCGACGTGACAAACGAGATCGGGAATAGAAGAAAATATACATACATAAAATGGAACGCCGTCGATTAAAGAGATTGGTTTTAACTTTTTCTATTGTTTTAAAAGTATATGTTAGTTGGATCGGAGATATTTTTATATTTGTTGACGTTTAACAGACGGAGAAACAAAAAGTATTTGTTGAACAAAGCGAGACGAGTTTACGCACTTTGTTTTTATCGAAACAAACGAATGAAAAAAAACCCAAAAAAATGAAAAACGATAACTAAAGCTTTGCGGTATGTATGTATATGGCGGCTGTTAATGTAATTTAATCGATACGATTTTACGGATCGTCATTTTAAATCGACTAATTTTAATAATGGTGAATTCGTTGTTCGTGTCATGCTGGAGAATCGTTTACTTGTGTAGTTTTATTACGAGTTAAAGAATCGTTCCATTCGATAAGCGCGGACAGAGGTGACGTCCTGTGTATTCGACAACTGTGCGAATTAATCTATGACAATCTTGTTCGAATTGACAAGAAAAAAAAATACTATTTTTTTCTTTTTACTGCCAGGTATCACTATTTCTCTATTCGCGAATCTGCCTTGAAGGGCGGCCGCTTATTGACTTATATTATACGAAACAAAGTACGGAAACACGAAAGAGAAGGAGCGATATCACGTGAAGAAAACGGATACGAATTAAGGAATGCGTTCCGTTTTCGTGAAGGGAGGAAAGAGAGAACGAACAAAAAAGATGAAACCGAAGTGATGAAAATATGCATTGTGCAATTACACACTTTGTACAGAAATAATATACATAGCGCGTACGTTAGTGGTTATTAATTATTGTTATTGTCATCGCTATCGACGCTGCGATCAATCGTTGATTTTTCGATCACGCATTTCGATCGTGGAAGCATCGGACTTGCGAAGCGGTAAATTGAATAAGAAAAATACAATTGTCTACGCCATCGATCGTAGAATAGCGAAGATACGAAGGAGAACGTTCTGAGAATTTTCTTCACCTTTGTGTCACTGTTCGGGTCGATGTGATCATTCGAAATTTTGTTATACGAACAGCAAATAAATTTTCCTATTTCACCTGTCCAATTCCTTTCGGCTCTCAGATTTTGAACAAATACGAACAAATTTTATTATCAATTGTCTGTAAAAATTATTTATCAAGTATATATTTTAAACAATTATTTTAATCGTTTATGTAAATACGAGAATTTCCCTCCATCCTTTATTTCATAATTTAAGCAATTGATCAGAAACCTCTATGGAGAGAATAAAATTTTAACATTTTCATTAGAGCACGTTCTTAATTATGAATACACGATTCTTCAGTTTAACCCAAATTGGATTGAACAATAATTCCGGGAGCAACGTAGAGAATTTTATACAACATTCAACTCAGACAAGGCACAAGGGCAAGAAAACGAAACGGAAGATCGAAATTCGCTTCGATGTATTGCTCGCTTAAAAGCTCCCCTTGAAGCTTTTTGTCATTGCAGCATGTGATCGTCATCCGTTCTTAAAAGCTGGTGTAAATTCGCGTCGAAACCAATTTGCCAAAAAAAAGGAAAAACGAAAAAAAACGGAGAAAATCTCTGACACCTTCTGTTTCGATGAACGTCGTGCGATTAGAAGATAATCAATCTTATAGACACGAACGAGGAGGAATCATAGAGAAGACAGTTAAATCTATTAAAACTGGTTCTTCTTGTCGAGAGATCAGAATATTTCAGTCATTTTCGCGACATTGGAGAATTCGTATTCTTCCTCTGTCTGAACTCGAGTCACTCGAGTTTCCTCCTGCGGACGTTGAGTCGTGGCAAACGACAAATCGATTTTTCCTTCTAAATAGTAATCTAGTTTTAACGATCACCCAATGTGGTGGGAGAGGATCAGTCAATAAACGATCCTTCTCTCGTGAACCCGTCGGTGAACTCAGTTGTTCGATATTATAAGCAAGCAAGCAGAGCAAAAAAAAAGTAATGAAAATAAAATAATAGAAATTTTCGCGGTCGTCGAAGGTGTCAGCCGAATAGATAAGAAGGCGATGAGAAAGGGGTCGAAGGGAGAATAAGGCGAAGACCTCAGTGAACCACGGAGACGTACGTGATTAGGGGAACGATGTAAGAAAAGCAGATAGGGGGATGAGAAAAGCGTTTCTCTCTCGTTCCATAGGTCGAGCGTTGTGGCTACCGTGTAGTCGAATTAACTGTATCCAATTCATTTTTCCGCGTTGTCTGCTGCGTGATGTGTGTGCACAGTGAGTATGCGTGTTTAATTAAATTCGGAGAGAAAATGTGCGAGAGAAGGTGAGATTCGATTGGCAGAGATCGATAATGTTTTAGGGGATGGAAACGAGTTTGTATAGGAGGACGAGAGTAAATATGGGAAAAATTAAGGAGAGAATATTTAAAGGAAATTCTCTTCAGAATTTTCTGATTTTGTTCGTTTACTTTCTAGTTTCTTTTCCTTGTTTGCTTCCTTACCTTGAACAATCTCTATTCGTTTTCGTCGCGATCAACTATCCAGGATAAACGATTTATTAGCAACGTGTACAGGATACGAAACGCAATGCGTAATAACTAACTAGACGACGAGCGATTTGTAAATAATAGAAACTGAAGAGGGACGATTCTTAGGCGTAAAGAAAGAAAATGAAACACATACCGTAATAGTGATCCACGCTATGAAGAAAAAAAAGAACGATATTACGCGTGCCAGGATGAGTGAATAATTTATAAGTATTCAGCTCTAGATGAGAGTAAAAAGAAATTAAAGAAAACTGGCGTCCTAAACGCGAGCGACATACAACCATATAAATAATATAAATACTATACATATAAATATATACATAGATATATATATTATTATATTGAAATATGCAAGCAGTGTGTGCGTTTTTCAGCACAGATAGTTGGTATTTTGTGTACAAAAAAAAATAATGAAAGGTGAAGCAAGGAGAAGAATGGGAAAAAGTAGCACGAACAAACAAGCTCAGAAAGAACAATTTTGTTAAATACTTTCGCCGCGCCCTATCCGCTCTGCGTGATCATATTATTATTATTATTATTATTATTATTTTATTATTCTTATTATACATTAGTATTGTATTCTAATTATCGTATTTTTATCTATTATCATGATTTGTGTAGTAGGAAAGGCGCGATGAAATTATTCGACAGCACTGACACAAGAGGACGAACTCTGTTGTAGGAGAACGAATAACGTTCCCAAGCAAACCGAAAATGCAGATACTCTATTTCATCTATAAGAAATACTCCTTCCTATCACACGTCTCTCTGCCATGAATTATATATCAGTCCCATTGAAATTAGATCCTCTCTATCAGAGCCGTGCATTTTCGATTTGCTCAATCTTTTATGCGATTTGTCGCGCCGGCTCGATTACCTCAGGATCCGTGATAGCGTCTCGTTATTGTAACGGTTTGGATTTGGATTGCAGGTTTGGAACTTGACGTTTTTAGACATTGAATTAAATATATCCCTAATTATTTATACGGTTTAAAATAGCTGCATTAAAATTACAGTTTTTTAATATCGAGAATTCCCGAAACTCGACAAGTTTAAAATACTATTTATAAAAAGATATACATTTACCAACAAATAAGAGAATACAAAGTTTTTTGGTATTAATATATGACACTACAAAAATTCTTGTAAAGTAAAAATCGTGGGTCGCGTGAAGTCGAGCTGGCGCCTACGCAGGAGTAAAAAAGAAAGGAATAGTGAGAAAGAGTGAAGTAAAAGTCAGGCTGTAAAAAAGAAATTGTCGCGATCAGTGGCCGTGCCAAATACGGCCGATTCTACTTGTATCATAATCTCTTACGATAACCCTATTATTAAACAATAACGAAGAAAAGAAAACCGTAACAACAATAAGAAAACTCGTAATTTAAGTGAGCGTGAATAGACACAAAAAAAATACATACACTCGGAAAGAGACACACACAGAATGAGAGAGCGTGAGAATGCGAGCGGAAGAAAGAATGCGTGAGGATTATAAATCGTGCGACGAGCATATACGCGAGTTAGTGACTGCTGTGTCATTAAAAGAAACTCGTAACCACGAACGGGATCCACGGCTTTCAGACGCTGGTCTCTCGATATTTATTCTTACCTCTTAATCCGTCTTTCCATTTTTAATCGAAACCAGAAAATACTTGATTAGAGAAATATCCAATCCGTATCTCTAATCCTGTTTGGAAATTTTCATTCTTCCGTAATTGATTTTTATTGATTCGCGATATTTGCGTATTTATCAGAAAAATTTTATCACAGGTGTTTTATAACATATGAGTCGTTTTTTTATCAAGATCTATTTTAAAATAATCTTACGAGAAATTGACGAGTTTTATATACTTTTATCTGTTTTTTTATTAAGATTTAATTGGAATATATTTTAAAATGTCCAAGTGTATACACTCTCTTATTTAAGGAAAGTGCAAACGAACAAAAATATATGGACATAAAAACAAAATAACCATCTGAACAGTGTAGGGAGAATAATAAAAGAAAGAAGTAATCAGCAATGCGTGTCTTCTTCCCCACAGCCAAAAACGTTGATCGGAAAGAAAGAAAGAAAGAAAAGAAGTATCGCGAGACCAGTGGCTGTTCCAGCCGACCCAAAGGATTTTTACCAAAACGACTTCGCGGGTCGCGAAGTGGAAGCAGTTATACATATTATATATATATACATATATATATATAAAATATTAGACGTAATTAATCGACTTTCGTTTTTGTAAACGAAGTCGGACCTCTGCCGTTGACTGTACAGCCGTGTGCTTCCCCTATGATTGAGAAAATGGGAAGGAAACGGCGACAAATGTGCTTTTTCCTTGTCGGCTTTTCTCGCGCGTGGCGAATTTTTGTAAAACGCTGACGCGTCCCACAAACGATCGCTGGAACGTGTCAGTCATTTTCTTTTTATACATTCATTTTTCCGCTTATACTTACGCTTATACATTCTCGTACATCGGTAATTATTTTAATATCAACGAAGGTGACTTATTTGCTTGGAGAGATTTCTTTTAATTTTGGACCTATCAAATTTTTTAATCGATCAAGATTATGTATGTTCGTGTCTTTTTAAGTATAGAATAAAACAAACGATTGTGATCCTCAGCGTTTTAATGGGTTATACATTCTTAATATTCGTTAAAGACTTTTTAATCGTATTAATGTATTTTCTATTTCCTTTTTTAAATATATATTCCGTCGATTCATTGATAAGGTAATGAAACATATTCGACCAGTGATCGCTTGCCGACGCGTCGTTTGGGACGTAATTAGAATGGGAGATGCGTTGTATTATATATCGAGAAACACTCTTAAGTGTAAGAATAATAATGTATATAATAATTATTATTACTATAAATGAAAAACTTCAATTGATCGCGCTCCTGGGTAAGGAGTCCCTCCCTCGGCTGAGAGGTGAAAGGAAAAAAGTAATAATATAAACAAGAAAATTTGAAACGCACGAAGACTAATGAAGTCGAGGCGACAAATCTCAAAGGTATATGTATACATACATACATAATCGTGAATGTAAATCGATGGAGTGAACGCAAAAAGAAATGTATGAAACGAGAAACAGGAAAGGAGAATGAAAAAGGGAAACTGTTATCGTATTAATTTCTAAATGAAGAAATGGATATAAAAAAAAGACGCTGCGTTTTTCAGATCCAGATCCGTTCTGTTTTTTTGTTGTTAGTTTGTACGCACTACGATTTATCGCAATTTATTGTATTATCGATGAAATACTGTAACAAAAATACTGTTAACTATTCTTAAAAAAAATTAAAACTTTTGTAAACTGAAAACCAACCGCGTACTAAAAAAAAGACGCTGCGTTTTTCAGATCCAGATCCGTTCTGTTTTTTTGTTGTTAGTTTGTACGCACTACGATTTATCGCAATTTATTGTATTATCGATGAAATACTGTAACAAAAATACTGTTAACTATTCTTAAAAAAAATTAAAACTTTTGTAAACTGAAAACCAACCGCGTACACGGTGAATTTACCCCAATGCAGCGTTCTAAGATACTCGAAGTATTAAAGATAAAAAGCAAAATTTTTTAAACAATTCGGAGGAAAATATGAAGGGGATTTGTTTCTTTTCATATTACAAGGATAAGAATTAAGGGGAATAATGAAATGATAGACGTGTAGAATATCATAACAATCATCTATTTTTATTCTACGACAGGATACATTTTTTACTTTCATATGTACCTCACTTCCGCGTCGTCCATCGCGATCGCAATGGGGCAGAAGACACAAATATATAATTCGAGTACATCGCACATAGAAGCTGGAATCGCACGCAGACACATTGACATTTTGCAATTCAAATCCGTAAGAAAAGTTTCCATAAAAATAGCACCAAATAGATTCGCGGAATGGTGCGTTTAGACGAATTAAATGAATGCTCATAGATCCCCACTTCGAAAAACTCGTGTCTCTATTCTGTTAAATTGATAATTTATAGATTAAATATAGGAAGAACGAACATTCGCTCGTCTGAACGGACCATGGGAGATTCGCATTTATCAATCAGTCATACTTAAAGGATATAAATAGTCAAGCTAGAACGTAATCTAATGACTCTAAAATCTAAATTAATTCGGTTTCGGCTTAAAAATTAATGGATGGCATCGACACGTTGCTCAGCTCGTCAAACTATAATCGAGCAACAAGCTGAATGTAATTAAAAAATAGTGTAGAAAAATAGCTGGACATCTTTTTAGGGTATAGTAATTGATTTAGCATCAGGCTGACTACTGATAGAAGTACTAGATATCACATTGTTGAGATCATTACACACACTCAGCATGGAAGATACTGTTTCGAAGGGAAGAATCGAAATTGGAGAACTCGCGGTTCGTTTTCTCAGGTTCAGTCTCGACTCTCCGTCCTAGCAGGCGAAACGGAGATTCCTACACAGGAAATTGGGAAAGCGAGTTGTACAAAATTATTCTTATTACTCCTTAGATACACAATTTCTTAATACTCCACACAGATTCAACTCTTCATTAGTGTTTAATTATTATTCTATGTACAATACTAAATTCTTACTTTTGTAGAACTAATAAATTCTCTTTTAAACGAATAGAGAGATAAAAAATTAAGAATTTACCTTCTTCTGCATATAACTCTGCACGTCGAAGCCCATGTAAAATGCGATCCTCTGCAAACCTAAGAGAGATCTCAGTCGCAAGCAAGGATCTGGTTGGAGCAATCGTTTGAGGAGATCCTTCGCAGCCGCGGAAATGTTTTCTGCGTTCGGTGGCAGAGTTCCAGCTGGTGCATAACCAGTTCCTCTGTCCTCTGGTAAAAGTTCGCTGGATGTACCGGCTGGATACTGCAACACGTATACGTGCACACGTGACGTAATTGATGAAAGATCGCTTTACGCGAGAAGAGTACAAGTCGAGAGAATAAGGATTAGGAATCTCGAAATTCCAAAATGATATAATAACAGATCACTGGTATTTAAATTATATAAATTCGTTTCCCAGCGAATGTGTGCTATTAATTAAAAAATGGGTTGCACAGGTCGAAAGGTTAACGATCGACACCTGCGCCAGTGGATAGGACCTGTCGAAGGGCTGTGACCGACGCGGTGCGCTGTCCATAAATATTTGTTTTTACGAGTGGAAGGTCGTCAGACTAGAGAAGCTATTACCGATGTGGAGTGTAGCCTGTCTAGGTGGTCGGGTGGCTCTACACCTTGCCAGGTACTCACTCCGCCTCGCGCAGATACACACGCAGGGTCAACGGCCACTCGCGACCCTCAACCTATTCGCTCGTTCATATCCCTCGAGCGTGTGCGCTGCGAATCCTCTCTCAATGCGCAATATTCTTTGTCTTATCCATTTCGATCGACCGTCGACGCGACTCGACGTTTATAACAATTTTTGTTCGATCGATTTTTAGAAATACTCATCGGTCTAAGTTCGTTCGAGGAAAATATGAGATGAAATCGATGAAGAGCATCGTGAGATGAAACTAGAAACTACTGTTTAGCAATTACGTATTTAGATCACGGTATTATTTCATTATCAACAAGATCATGATCGGCCTCTTGCCTGTGCAATTCCCCGAGTCGTTACGTCAGACAAGGCAGGAATCATTTTAATTACCAGGTCGTGTTACACATGCATCTTTTGACAAGAGAACCTCCTCGAGTCCGACATTCCCACACACTAACAACGCACCCAATTTAATTAGCGAAATATATTAACGATCATCAGATATACCTACAATGCTGACATTGTAATCAATGAAAAGGAATCAGGCTCTTTCGTAGACTTGATTGCCCGAGGCTCAAATAATTATTCTCACACGGCATCATATTCCCGATTAATAAATTTACACGAACGTCCACAAAATACTGAGAACATGTTATAAAAAAAAGTGCCAATGACTTTGCAGGAATTTCATCGTTCGAAAGGGTGAATCGCGACGCTATATTAAAATTTCTCTCATAAATCAGTTGGAAGAATCTCGACCTTTCGCGGTGGTTAGGCATGGGCAAGTACGTGATCCACGAACGGGATAAATTACGGCGATCGATAATGACCGGTGCGGCGCGTCGGTGTTTCTAAATCGTTGTTTACAAGCGAAGTCGTCGGGGGAAAGGGAATAGCTATGAGCGCGCGGAAGATCGGCTAGCGAAGTTATTCCAATTCGATCTCGTCGGAGAACCTTGACCGAGAGTAACGGTACAGAGAACGATCATTACGAAGATCGTAGAGATAGATGAGGCGCTCTTAAACGGCGGCCTCCCGATCTCGTTCTGCATAGATCCGATCCGAACGGTCTGTTCCAGTTCATTCGATCTGCACGAGCTGGCTCGTGATCTTCGGTTCGATGATCCCGGTCTACCTCCCCCTTTCACCGCGGTGAAATACGTGCCGAGAGATGATTATTGATCGTCTCGGGCTGGATCATCGATCACCATGCCTCGGATACGGTTCCGCGGATAGATTGTGGGAAGTAGTCGAATGGTAGACCCACTTCTTGCCACGAATGTAATCTCTTCTGCGCGCGTGTTCGCGTTAAAACTGTTCATAACTCATTCCTGTCACCCTGGCAACAAGTCCCAAGCATCGAACCCTCGTAAACAAAAAATTGTCATATAATTCTTTTGTTGAATGACGAATTAGTTATCAGTGTTAGTATAGTCTTATTCAACGACATTAAACTTAGATAAAGGATGTTACTCAGCCCTGAAACTACCCAAAATCCTTACTCATCCTCTATTCCAAATATCCCTACTCCTACCCTCCAATTACTCATACTGAATAAATATAAGGACCAAAAAATATGTACAATAGGACAGATTCCAGTAGTTCGTGCTGACGTGCAGAGCTATACCATAATAAAGTTTTAGAAGTTCCAAATTAGTAAATGTTGCAATTAATTCCTACATTAGGGTACAACACTTTGACACTGAAACTGTCGTCGCACTCTTCTAGCTTTTCCTAAAGACAATTCGTATTCGATAGACGTCAATTCCAGGTGTCAGGGGACGGTAAACAAAAATCTTGGGCGACGACTTCCGCATGTTCGCGGCCACTTCGCGGCGAGTCTTCGACGAAGTCGACTCGAGACGGGAAAAATCGGGGCCGTTGAACGGGCGACGACGGTCGGGCGCTTCTCAAAATGATTTTTTCAAGAAAAGACGAGACCTATGAACTCGATATACACTCGCGTGCGCCACGCTCGCGCTCACTAAATACCAGTTGGATCAGAAGGCTAGGCCAGCTAATTGCTCGGCAAACCTGGGTCCCGATTCACCGACGCGGATACGTTCGTTAGCACTCCTTGCGGTAGTCTTGCCTCCACTTTGTTCACTTTTATCTCGCTTTAAACGCGGTGTTAGAACTTCTGAACAAGCAAACGGTCTATCGAGTGGTCTACCGAGAGATTCCGCTGGTGAAGTTGAATCGGTTGGAGGATGTGCTTAAAGAAGTGCACCGAAAGAAAATCAATGTTTACGATGGGTTTGCACTTCTCGAAAGTATAATATTTTATTTGAAGTAGCACCGAGAGAATTTGAATAAGCATGAAATTCACATTCCTATCGTGATCTTGTAACTGCAAAGCAGAAACGATAATTAATTTAATAAAGAAATAGTTGATTACAACCAGGAATGCAATTCATCGCATTTTATCCAATTCTTTACAGTGCGTTCACAGTTAATAATCATTCTAGGTAATCGTTCTTGACTACAGTACGCACATTTTGCGGCTTGCACAATGCATCGAAGAAAAGATTCCAAACAGCGAACAATAGTGGGAAGGTTTGCGCGTGAACAGAGGAAACGCGAGATTTCTGGATTACGAATACAAAAGTGATACGCCGTTTCCTATGAACGCCGGTTAAGTTCGTTAGCGTTGCCATAATCGAGTGAAACGATAACGTTTCCTGTTAGGACGAAGACGCGCCATCATCGCGTAAACGTAGTTACTTCTATGCGTGGTTACTTCCCTTCAGGAGCTTTTCCGCTCGGCTGGCTCGACGCACCGCGATGCGCTCGGCGAAAAGACGTTTTCACGGACGACGGGAAGGTTCATCGTGAGAATTTTCATGCATGCGACCGGGGAAATAATTTTTCTACTTTCCTCTTCGTTAGAATTCGTTTCTCATAGTAAAAAGACGAGTGATGGAAGTTGAGCTCGTTTTTTTTTTTCACGTTTCTAAGTGCTACAAAAATAATTGTGTAATTCGGTAATTGAAGGGTACAGATAGTTTTAATAATTTAAATACAAAGCTTCAAGTTTAACGGTTGATCATCGATTAACGATGCGTCGATGGAACGTGTAGCGATGTGATGAGCGGATGTCACGAAACGAAGAGGAAACTCTAAGACAGACTCCAGCACGTGTCTCATGTCTGCAATCGCAATGATCTCGTATTTTGATGCGTACACTTTCTCCGTTTATCGACACAAAGTAAATAAGATTTTTACATAAAAATTTGAACGAAGGTAATGTCTTAAAACACGTCGCTGAGTGTCTGTGACAAAATGATTTATTCGATGTTACCACAGAAAATTCTTTCGATAATCGATGTCAACGGACAGGTTTCAATTTCTAAGCTGCGATTACCGTAATCGTCAGGAATACTCCGTCGCGAAACTTTATAACAAATGAATATTGACGACCGGTTTGCTCGAACGGTGTCAAGGACACTTACAATTATTTCTCGCGATAAAGGAGACATTAACTCGACGATTTAAGAAAGTAGGAGGACTGACACAGCTTACCGAAGTCTTCAGTTATTTCATACATACAATTTCGAGTCTATCTGAATTGACCTGAAATTATATTGAAATAAATATGTTTGTAGGTCTGCTTGAAGTAGCCAGCAGAACTGCTGCATTCTCTAAGAAAAGGCGAGCAGAGTGGTCCGGCACGAATCAATATTACGCGGTGCGCGAAGCCTCGTTTCTCTCGAGGTGCATCGACCACGGGGCCGGCCGGCCGGCCGGTTCTATTCCCGGCACGATGACGGTGTTCTCACGACAGTAACTGCAAATAGAAACCGGTGATTACGAATCCATCATCGGTGGCAACGGAGGTGGAGTCCTTGCCAGGAATTCCTTCGCGTCTTTTTCTCGGTCAAAGGATACGAGAAAATAGAAATCCTTCGACGAGCGAGATTTTCCACAACTTAGAGATACGAGATACCGTCTAAAGAAGTGTAATTATTAGACTGCGAATTTTTATAAAAAAAATAAAGTAGTTGGAATACAGGACTAAGGGATGAAATTTAGATATGTCTGCCATTTATGAAATAAATATCATACGAATTTTGCTTACAATATTTTCCATGCTTTTGTACTGAATGCACTGATTAGAATTTTATAATAAAATATGATAAATTGGATAAAACTGATTTAAGAACCATTGATTGAATCTCATACGTTGTCTTGACAATATTCAATTCCTAGTTGAATATACGACACGAAACAAAGGTTGCGAGGTTTGTAGAAGAACAGAGAAAAGTGTGCGAAGGAGGGAAGCACGGAGAGAAACGAAGAAAGCATTAGGAGGAGGAAAGAGGACCGGTCGCGTGGTGAATGCAGGCTCGGACATTAACTTCCCATTAACCGTCGGCCATTAAAGGAGTCCGGGAGGAGCTGGCGCCAGGAGTAATCGGGCATCGGGTACTAGGCGCCCCGTGCAATCCGCGTACGACACAACCGCGGCTATTTATAAACTTGCCCCGCTGCTGCAGGCGAGCCGCGCGTGAATAAAATCGTGATAAAGTACCCTTTCGGCATGTATTTCCACGCGAATTTCCTCGCTAATGAAGCTGTCCTTGACTGAGGCTTCGGAGAGGTTGAAAAC